GATCACTGACCACATCTCAAGACAGTGACAATGTGAACAGCTGACATCACCTAAGCCCCGCCCCCTGACAACAGGAAGTCGATTGTTTTATGGTGAACTGCCCATATTTGTCCCCTCTAATTTAATCAACATGACACTAAGGTCATGCACTGTCTTCATGATGCTGTAATGACCATTCAGTTCTGATAGCTTTCCATAAAGGGAGAGGCTTTGATGCCAAGGCGAATTCTGGCATGACGCCGTGACCTTACGTTTGACTGTAACTTCCGCAAACAGCCTCCGATCTGCACGAGACTGAACATGGCAATCAACAATCATGCCCTTTAGCCAATGAGGCACAAACGGTTGGCGAACGTTATATAATATCACCACAGCGCCCCCTACATACCTTTGAAACTGTAATAACTCTTACAGACGAGGTCACAACTGCACAAAACTTTCTATATGTCATCACAGAAAGGCACTCAACACAATCCTATGATCATTGGTTGATATTGCTTTAGCCCTGCCCCCTGACAGATATTAGGCCCTGAATAACACATGCATGATGCAATTTACACCAAACTGCACACAAATGATTGTTGTCAACCTACAAACTTCTTCATGGAACAGAAGCCGCGACCCAGCCGGCAGCCCGCGCAGCAGACAGAAGCCGCGATCAGACAGAGATGCACCGGGCTGCGGGGAGGGGAGAAACGGGTGGAAAACAGAGGTCTCCCGAGACCTCCACAAGCCGGCAGCTGCACAGCAGACAAGCGCCGCTGCGCAGAGCTGCCGCTGCGCAGAGCTGCCGCTGCGGAGAACCGGGTGGAAAACATCGATCTCCCGAGACCTCCACAAGCCGATAGTGGGAACCCAGCTCCACCAACATGTTATATTTCAACCCATTTTCTAAAGTGCAGCATTATGTTAAATGCACTGGGTTTTACCCTATTACATTTAAATTACATGGTTAAACAGTTCATGTTAAAATCTAAGCTCAGCTCGGCAGTGACCTAAAATACATAAATATAATTTTACTTACCGAAAAAATGAAGTGGAGACTCCTTGGGCGCTCTATTAGTGCAATTAATGCCACAGCAAGTCATTTTGTCCAACAATTGCACAAATAAGGTCCAAACAAGAATACACACACACAGAGACTCAAAATCCCGGAACAGTTTCCAGGCCAGACCGAGGCTCTACTGAGGGCTTTCCACGGAGCTAGCTCTGTGGTCACGTGGGTCTGATGCTCATTAATTATACAGAATTTTAGGCTTTTAATACACTTAAACAGAAGAGTGAGAAAAACATTCACCCCCCTCAGAGTTGTCATGAGTGTAAACTAGATCATTTAAACCTAAAACATGTTCTGGTACCAGGCTGTAAACATGTTTATTTCTGCTGTGAAATTGGTATTTTTAACATGGGAGTCAATGAGGATTTGCTCGCTTCTGACACCAGCCCCTAGTGGATGAGGGTGGAACTGCAATTTTTGGTTCTTCCGGGTTGAGACCAATTTTAGAGCCGCATTGTGGGGGCTTGGTCATCACACCACCAGTGTGGTAAAGATAGAGTATCCCTTAGTGGTTAGATGTGTAATTTAATGGTGGGCTCAGAGAAGATGCTGAGTCAGGGTGAGGTACAGACTAGGAGACCGTTCGCGGTTTCTGGTGTCGGAGTGGTCGATGCTTATGTTCAGCAGACGTGCCCATGTGCACCAGACTGCCGGCCAGGCCAGAGCGGCGCGGAGCTGCGAAGGCCGAACGACGCTGCTTGCAGCTTTAATTCAGTTTGTCTTTTTTAATCACTCTAGAAATTCCTTAAATTCTGTGTTTTTCTGTCAACATGGGGCGCTGTGTGTTCATTAATGAAGAAAAGTTATTTGATTTTAGCTAATGGCTGCAGATACCACTGGTGTTTACGCTGGTGTGTTTGTCTCAGGGATGCATGGAACCGCTTGGGAGACCTGAGCCCTGAGAGCGCCATGGCCATGTACGTAGAAGAGATGAAGAAGGTTGCCCAGGAGGTATGTGTATTGTTCTTCAGTTGCGTGTTTAAACTAATACTGATATTATCAGAAACATCACTGGTAATTAAGCTGCAGCTACAGTGCTGTTTAAGGTCAAAATCCAACCACATCAAACGGAAACGGGTCTGCATTTAAAAGCACCTTCTAGAATCCTAGAACAGTCACTCTCTCATTCACACATTCACTTGCTAGTAGTAATGAGCCACAATCTAGCCTCATTAACCCCAAGACACTCCGACTGCGGTAGGGCTGCCATAAACGCTTGACAATGCTAGGTCTCTCTGACCATCACCACCAGCAGGTAAGGTGGGTGAAGTGTCTTGCCCAAGGACTCAAAAACAGACTGGCAGGGTGTGAACCTGCAGCCCTCTAGTTAACCTCTGGATGAGGTTCGTCCTGGGCATCTCAAGGCTATGGATGTTGTAGGGCTGTCATGGTTGACACGTCTCTGCAACATTGCGTGGTCATCGGGGGCAGTTCCTGTGGCAGACCGGGGTGGTGGTCCCCGTCTTTAACAAGGGTGACCTGAGGGTGTGTTCCAACTTTAGGGGGATCACACTCCTCAGCCTCCCTGGAAAGGTCTACGCCAAGGTACTGGAGAGGAGGGTCCGATCGATAGTTGAATCTCAGATTGAGGAGGAGCAATGTGGTTTTCGTCCTGGCCGTGGAACTGTGGACCAGCTCTATACCCTTGCAAAGGTGATGGAGGGGGCATGGGAGTTTGCCCAACCAATCCACATGTGTTTTGTGGATTTGGAGAAGGCTTATGACCGTGTCCCCAGGTGCACCCTGTGGGGGACGCTCCAGGAGTATGGGGTGGGTGACTTTCTGTTAAGGGCCATTCAGTCCCTTCACCAGAGGAGCGTGAGTTTGGTCCGCATAGCCGGTAGTAAGTCGGACCTGTTCCTGGTGAGGGTTGGACTCCGCCAGGGCTGCCCTTTGTCACCGGTTCTGTTCATTACCTTTATGGACAGAATTTCTAGGCGCAGCCGTGGTGTGGAGTGTGTCGAGTTTGGTGGCAGGAGAATCTCGTCTCTGCTTTTTGCGGATGATGTGGTCCTCCTAGCTTCATCCAGCTCTGACCTTCAGCTCTTGCTGGGTAGGTTCGCGGCCGAGTGTGAAGCGGCTGGGATGCGAAAAACACAAAATGGAGTGCTTGGACCAAAATGGCCCGACTACACCTTTGGGTGTATATGAAGCATGGCGTTTTTGTGGGTTCCGAAACACTACATAAATGTACCAAACTTCACAATCCTCAGTCAGAGCATGGCTTAGGGCTGACATTTTTAATGGGCCTAGGGGGCACTATTGCAAAAACTAAGCCACGCCCACCAGATTTTCAGGTTAATATCTAACGCCATGGGGTTACGCCATCACTGCTCCACCCTTTTTCAAGAGCTCCCACAAACTGATGCCAAGCAAGCCTAACTTGTCTTCAATTACCTGCTACAAGACCTTTCTCAGTAAAACTTGACCTTTTCTGTCCTGGGCGGTGGCTTTTGTGACTTCATCAATCGACCATTCATTTTTCTGGTGGATGAGGAATAATCCTAGAATAATTTGTAACTCTATTTCTTTAGGTTATCAAATCATGGCCATTTATAATTTTTGGCGAGTAGTCAGTTTGCAGCCTGGCTTTGCCCCATCAGCATATATGAAAACTCAATTTTAATTTGACAGTTTTTATCGCCCATCCCTTCTGAGCAATCGCACACAAAATTCAAATACAGACCCTACAAATGACTACCACTTAATTTTAAATAGCCGACTTTCTGTTTGATGTTGACAAAGGCTGCTAGAGACTTTTCTGTGCGTCTTGGGGAGTACTAAGGTTTTTACCAAATTTCATACTTCACACAGTGAAAAAAGGTACGTTAGGGTGCTGTTTTTTCCTGCTTCCAGGGGGTGCTGTCGAGCCATTTTCTTTAGCGATTTTTTTGTGAAATTTGAAATACAAAAATTTCACGCAGAATCTACGTCAGGCCAATATTTGGTGACTTTTGAAATATGGTAAAGGCTCCAAAAAAGGCACTCATTTTGTCTGTTGAAGAAGAAGACGACAAAAGAATAGAAAGAAACTATCATAGATGTTTGTTTCTTTCTGTTCATCTCCAAGATCTTGGAAAAGGTTGTGGCTAAACAACTCGCAGCTGCTCTTGATGAACATATCATAGATGTTCTGTTCATCAAGAGCAGCTGTGAGTTGTTTAGCCACAACCTTTTCCAAGATCTTGGAGATGAACGGAAGTTTAGAGATGGGTCTGAAGCTGCTATGGAGAGAGAGAGGTCAAGACGATTACAGCGTTCTTAAAGTAAGCAGGGACCTGACCAGAGACCAGAGAAGGATGACGGGCTGGGTTGGAGTCAGGAGAGGCAGATTTAGTAAAAGTTATTTGGTAACCTTTACATGCTTCAGTTAATAGCTCTAGCCATCGTCAGATCGTCGGTGATGGTGGCGTCACTTCCTTTTATCCGCGGGCAGCAGAGGACGGTGTCGCCCTCTAAAAGGAAGTGACGCCACCATCACCGACGATCTCTGCAGTGGTGATCTGAAATATAAACGTCCTCAGGACAAACATTGTCAGCATTTAGACTCAGGGAAAAAACAAGGTCCAGAGTGTGCCCCCTGGTGTGTGTGGGGCCAGAAACCTGCTGGGTAAAGCTGAAGGAGTCCATCACAGGTTAATTACAATTACATTATATAATGAATGTTTAATCTAAGGGTTAGAGATGTATAATCTCTCTCTAAGCTTCTGACAAACACGTTCATGACTTCCTGTGCGGAGCTCACAGCTCTTTCAGCAGCAAGGGTTAGGTGTGTGTGCGTGTGTGTGTGTGTGTGTGTGTGTGTGTGTGTGCGTGTGCGTGCGTGTGTGTGTGCGTGTGTGTGTGTTTTAATGAGGTAAAGTGCTGCACTCTGTAATGATTGAACAGGATGAATCAAGCTATACTAGGTGTGGTTAATCTGGACTTCATCTGGTCTCCTTAGGTCATCGACACCATGCCCATGAATCACACCACGGCTTCTTTCTTCCATCACTTTGAGCCTCTCTACTCAGTGATTGGTGACATGCCTCGGCCCCCAGCATCACTGCTCACGCACGTAGCTGGTAGGTCAGCACACACACATTCTTGTCTAGCATTCATTGTGAGGACCATCATTTACTTCCATTCATTTTAGTGAATGGATTGTGACTAACCCTAACTCTAACCATAACCAGTCCCATCCCTGACTAACACTTAATGGGTAGAGCGCTGTGACGCTGCACTAGTGAGGAGCAGCAAAATGTCCTCAGTTTGTAGGTAAAACGCTGTCATTGGTCCTCACTTTGATGTCTAGACGAGTACACACATGCACAATCATTACCACGTGTGTGAGAATCCCAACATTAGGAGACTGCTGCAGTACCTGGTGCAAGAACAATAAATGATGAGCAAAAAATTTGACTTAAGAAATAAACACAATGAAATGATAATAATATAGGGAATTACAGAAGCAGCTTTTTTATACAAGTCGGTGTAGGTTCAGGTCAGAGCAGGTCAGTTCAGGTGCAGACACTACACTTCCTAGGCTCTTGGAGAGTTCAGACGCTTTTTTCCTCCTCTCCTCCCTATCTCATCCCAAGGCTCTTTGTCTGTCTCTGGGTGCACGGAGCTTCTGCATTTTTTCTGGAAACTGGAAATGATTACAAATGGACCTGGTCAGTTCTCTCAACGCGATAGACAACATTTTTTCAACGATGAGAACGGGAGAAGGGGCTCCCAGATGTCGCTCTGGGGCAGAGCCAGCTGGGTATATCATGGACTCCTGGAAACAGTGGAACCTGATCTGCCTCTCCCAGCTGTCTGTAGAGGACTCTGAAGACGTCTGGATATTCGTGGTGTTGGTGTCGGGTTTCTTGCTGTTTGGCCTGAGCGGTTACCTGGCTTACCGGAAAATTAATGAGCTTTTGAGGAATATTGGCTCAATCCCGGAGCTCAGGGATGGATTACACCGCACTGTGAACGCACAAACTCATATAATTGTCGAGATGAGTCGTAAGCTTGGGACTTTGGCTGAGATTCAGGCTCTGGCACAGAAGGTGGATTCGGTCAGGGAGCGAGTTGATGGACAGCACGGTTGGGAATAGATTAATTACGCCATTATTGGATCTAGAGGGGTTGGAGACCAACAGAACTTTAAGACAGAGAGGAAATTATCTCTGTCTGGCCCCAAAACAAGTTCTTATCTGAATCTGGTGCCTTTGAGCCTGCGAGGCTGAAGTGATTCCTCCCCCTCAGAAGAAATGTGGAATGCTGCCGTCGCCATGGTAGGGCTGGGGGTAAATGATTATTTTTAAGGAGGGGGCTGGTTGACCTTTGGTGCCCTTTTAAAACCTTCACTAATATCTCTAACAGGAAAGCAGCACAAATGTTTGACAACAATTTTGTTAGATTTGAAGAAGGTGGGGGTGCAACTTCACTCAGGTATCTGAGCCTCCTGCCAGAAGGGAGCAAGTCAACAAGACCGTGTCCAGGGTGACACAGGTCAGCTGTTATCTGACCTGCACGCCTCAGTGACTTGGAGGTGTACAGGTCCTGTATGGAGGGGAGTTAGCAGCCAGTGACCTTCTCAGTAGAGCGTACAACACGCTGCAGCTTCTTCCAGTCCCTGATGGTAGCTCCAGCGTACCACACGGTGATGGAAGAGGTGAGGAGGGACTCGATGACTGCGGTGTAGAACTGCCTCATCGACTCTGCTGATAGGTTGAATTTCTTCAGCTGCATCAGGAAGTTCAGCAACCTCCGCTGTCTTCTGGGTGTTTAGCACCAGGCTGTTGTGGCTGCACCAGGACACCAGCCGCTCCTCCTCCTTCTGTAGGCAGACTCATCCCCGTCAGAGATGAGGCCGATGCCGGTGGTGTCGGCTGTTAGCTTGATAAGCTTGACAGACTCGTGGTTGGAGGTGCAGCTGTTGGAGTACAGGGAGAAGATCAGAGGGGAGAGGACACAGCCCCGAGGAGAACCGGTGCTGATGGTCTGCAGGTCCAGCCTGATCTGCAGCTTCCTGTCAGTCAGGAAGTCAGTGATCCACCTGCAGATCAGGTCAGGCATGTTCATCTGGGACCGTTCATCCTGGAGGAAGCAGAGCTGAAGTCCACCAACGGGATCCTGGCGTAGGTACCCGGGAAGTCCAGATGCTGCAGGATGAGGTGTAGAGCCATGCTGATGGCATCATCTTCAGACCTGTTGGCTCTGTAGGCACGCACACAAACACACACTCACAAACACACACTCACAAACACACACAGGTTATTAGCTCATCAATAGTAACCCTGACCCCCCAGAGCTCTTTAATAATAATCCATTCACACTGTGATGCTGATAATAAGCTTCAGTGTGTCCACAGCTGCTCTGTCAGAGGCAGAGGGGGGTACCTGACCTGTCTGTCTCTCAGATGTGTCTTGTGTTGCTCTGCTGCCCCCAGGTGGCTAAGCCCAGCAGGTGTAGGTCCCTGGATGATCGGCTGCTTGTGTCTGCAGGGGTCCGGCATGAAGACACTCTCTCAAAGATGAAGGCTGATGGGGAGAAGCAGGAGGGCCCTGACCTACACGTGGAGCTGAACATGCATGAAGTTGTCCACCTGTCTCCCTACTCCCTCCCAAATGGTACAGGAGGGGCTCTGTGTCTACATCTGTCTCCACAGGTCCCAGTGGTCCTTTAATTCAATTCAGTGAAATTCAGGTTTAATTCTAAAGCAGCAAATCACGACCAGGACCTTCACACCGTAATCATTCCAATGCAGGTCAGCTCATTAAGCCAGTCAGTAACAAGTTTTCTTATAGCAGGAACCCAGCAGGTTGCATCGAGTCACTGACTAGTGTCAGAAGCCTCTTTTATAAGACAGACCATCGCGTCATTACAGAGTGATGAATCCAAATTTGTGGGTCTCGTGAATGCGACAAGGAGCAAAGGGGAAAGTGCTAAAACTGGATTCTGATGCGCTTTGCCTCGAAGTAATATTGCCGCACGAGCCCCTTGTGACGGCTAAACGCGTGTCAGCCCCGCTAGTCCCTTTGGAGCGACTGTGACACATACTGCGCACTGAGTGCCGACCGGAAGGGATATAAACACAGATAAACATGGCCGCTCTCACTAGGATCTTTCAACCGCCTACAATATGGCAAACTGGATGGACGCGGAGACCATGGAGCTTTTGGCCGTGCGAGCGGACGAACAGATTAGTCGCCTTGTTACGGGGACGGTGAGAGACAGCCAGCTGTTCGACAGGGTGGTGAAAACACCGGCTGAGCGGGGCGTGAAGCGGGACAAAAAGCAGGCCACATCAAAGCTAAAGGTCCTGAAAAAGAAATGTCATCAGTCTGATGTGCCTTCCATCTGACACTGAATGCGCAACCCTGTACATCACATGCGGGGGGGTGGGGCCAGCGACCTCTCTTGGTTTGAGAGGTGCCTGATGGTAGTTCATTCTAGCTTCAGCTTTGCTAATATAAATCACAAATTCCTCCCCAGGGAGCCGTGGCAAATCCCGTTTTGCAAACGCTCTGGTCCTGTAAAAACAGCTCAAGTCTATACAGCAATCCTCATACTAAGCAAGCATGCAGCGACAGTGGAGAGGAAAACTCCCTTTTAACAGGAAGAAACCTCCAGAGAATCCTGGCTCAGGATAAGCAGCCATCCTCCACGACTCACTGGGGATCGAGAAGACAGAGCAGGCACACACACACACACACACACACACACACACACACACACACACACACACACACACACACACACACTCTCACACACACACACACACACACACTCTCACACACACACACACACACTCTCACACACAGACACACACACACACACACACACACACACACACACACACACACAGACACACACACACACACACACACACACACACACAC